TGATGCTTGTGTTGTGTGTGTGCACTCAATTCTCCCTCCCTTCTTCTACCTCTAGCCATAGTGTGTGGTCGGCAACGCCGGTGGACGGTCGGCTCACCCGTGTGAAAGATCCAGGGGGCCAACAGCCCCTTTCGTTTTGATGTAGCCTTCTATACTACAGAACTAATGTTTTCCATGAATGATTAGTCAATGCATAATGGTTATCTTAGTAAAATTTAGGTGATATTGTCAAAGTACCAGATTGAGACCAACATGTAATGTCCATAGATGGAAATAAACTTTCATGGTATTTGTACTGGTTGTATTTCAAATTAAATATTTTATTCGCTTATGTTGGCATGCTCATAAGAATTCTTTACCGGAAGCAAGGCATTCGGATTTGTGGTCAAAGTATAAATTTATTTGTTCTTGCAAGCGCTGTATTGCATCACCATAGCCGTACACTGATCTTATTTTGAATGTAAGAATGAAATCTGAGAGAAAATGTTCTGATTATTTACTTGCCTCTTTTAGTATGCTTCATTAGTATTGATATGAAGCATTTGTACTGTGTTTATAAGTGATTAGAGTTTCCTACTTTTACATTGTTGCACAGTTCTGTAAACTGTTAGCAAATTGCATCAATTTGCTACTCTGCCATGGTAGCCGATCCAATTTTTGTTTCTTGGGGAGGACGGAGGGACGATCTATATATATCCACGTACGAGCAGGCCATGGTAGCCGACTAGCCGTTGATTGCTGACAGCAACGGTTCGATGAAGCGCCACTTGAAAACCACATGCTACTGTACCACGTGGTTTGGGTCGGCAAAGTACTTAGCAAGCATCAGTCCATAGTGTAAGTGTAACATTCACGCAACACATGGCATGTTTAGAAGCTGTCTGTTTAGATGGAGAAAATACTGATGACTTTTTTAGAATGGCTAGAGCAGCAGCAGCGTATTCATTGTTACTTGCAGGGACTACACACCATTTGTTCTTATCTGAATGTTCTTTTATGACTCCCCTGTCTCATTTTTTGTTAAATACTGGACAGTCTCTGTTATATCTTGTTGAGTCTATCAAGGGAAAGACAAGGCAAAATATATCTTAGGCTCGGTTCAGCTCTTCTTCATGTCCAACAAGTTCTACAAAAAATGATTCTCCACCATACCATGAGTTTAGATCAACCTGTGAAGCATTTGGCAAGCAAATGTTATCTTTGCCATTGCATTGCTGGTCGTTTCTAGTGCAAAGTTTACCCAGCCTGGAAAAGATAAAGAACCCCATGGAATTTAGTATGCTTGGAACAACAACATATCAGTCTGTCCTTTCTGAGGAAGATCATGTCAACCTTTCTGCACATCAGCCAGTAGGTTTCACGAAGAAACAAATGGAGTGCATTCTTAGTTTGGCTCTATGTTGTATCGCCTATTGCAAATATCTTGCAAGTATATGCTATGGTCCACAACATTATCTGGCAGATCATGCAAAATATCTACTTGAAGGTATCGATCTTGCACAATGAATTCTCTTTCTTGGCATAGGTGTGTTGTAAAATCTTATGCTCCTAGGAGTTAATGTTCAATGTGTGTATTATCAAGGCTGTTGAGCTTATTTTCTATATGATTGTATGCTAAGCTCATTATTTCATTTGTATGCAAGCACCATTTTTCTATACTTTTTGGTCACTGAGAAGTTGTACCATTGATATTGTACCTTTCTGACTTTTCTGTTTGTTCTGATGAAGACAAGTTAATAATCTTCAGTTGCACTGGGTTTCACATTACATCATACATCTATGGTTTCAAACTTCACTTAATACAGAGTTATCTGAAACTGGGTTCTTAGATTTTGTATCCAAAAGTTGATCTCTAATTCATTTTTTTCCTTAACTTTTCTCATTATGCAACGAAAAAGTATGCACACGCTTTCTGGTTAGGATGCAAATTCTTATTTTTTGCGGCTCATGGAATATGTGGCTGGGCCATATATGAAAGGTAATCATTTATGGTTTGAACAAATGTGCAAGTAATATTATTTTATTTATACTTTAAAGATCAGCTAGTTATGATTGAAAGATGCTTGTATCATTTATCACAAAAGTTGCACATTTTGGCAGCTCACTGAAGAGTGGTCTCACATTCACCAAGCAATTATTTAGGAGATTTTCTTGCGTCATTTTTATAAGACAAGGAATGGAACACAAATGCGCATTACTTTTGGGCAACTTTGTCGTGGTTCAATGAACTGAAAACACTGTCCACTTGATTAGGAATATCATTCTCTCCCTGGGTAGGTGTTTTGGAGGTTGGCATTGGTCCTGATGAAATTGTTTTCTAGCAATAATGCAAGTAAAAGAGAACAAAAATCATGTATTCAGACTTCAGTGACGTGGTAACAGCTCATTGTTATGAATAAAATAGTGATGTCTGGTTCAACTGAATTAGACAGAATGAGCCCACTTTGTCATGTTACTAGTAGAACTGAAAGTCGGAGTTTCTGTGGAGTTGTTCAATGTGGTATTCGTTTTTGTTCCTTTGTGTCTCCTGATATGAATGTAAATCTGTTCCCAAAAAAAAAATCTTCTCCAATTTTAGCTCCATTCTAAATTATAAGATGTTTGGTTTTTTATATACATGGTTCTTGCTATACATCTATATGTACACTATGTCTAGATACGTAGCTTTTACTATGTATGAGCCAGAACAACATATAATTTGGAACTTAGGGAGTATTACTTTAGTCAGTTTTAATCTTATTTACACTTTGCAGTGCTTAGTGTAGTGGAGAAACATATAAACAAATGAACAACAATCATTTTCATGCAATTGCCATTTCTTATTTATCTTTATGGTGGTTCATTCACTACACCTCAACGTACTTTTGCAAAGCAAGTAACTCAAAACTCAACTCTAGCTGCAAGCTTATACTACATATTTTGGTATTTATGATTAGTGAGGTACATGTTTAAGGCTAAAGGTTTGGCTCTTATGTTCATATACCACTATAAGGTTCAACTCCAATAAGCCAACGACCAGTGCTGCTATTTTGTCACTGGAAAACGGATGACACTACTGACTACAGTGGAGGCTACAACAAGCCCGGCTCGGACGAGTATACTACCGGTTCAGGCAGGAACAACACTGTTTACAGGATGGGATGGGATTATGTCACTACGTAAAAAAACGATTTTTAGTAACGGTTCGAATTTTTTGTAGGGCCGGCCGGTGATGGAGCCGCCCCTACAGTGGCGTACTCGGGTGCCCAGACATCAGCCGTCCCTACAAATAGAACAGCAGGGGCGGCTGGTGTTATGAGCCGCCCCTACAAATAGGGTCTGATTTGTAGGGGCGGCTCAATCACCAGCCGCCCCTGGAGTTGCTATTTGTAGGGGCGACTAGTGATTGAGCCGCCCCTACAAATGGCCCCGTATAAATGGCTCCGATTTGTAGGGGCGGCTCATTCACCAGTCGCCCCTACAAATGCCCCACATATATAACAACATTAGCACCTTCTTTCTCCTCGGGTCACTCACTCCAACCCGTAAAAAAAAGGTGGGGAGGCCTTGGGCACCTCCCAAAAATTGCTCTACTAAGGGGGAAGGTTTTGGTCTTAAATCTTTTGGTGGAGAGGTTATAGAATGTAAGAAAATGCTATTCCACACTTTTTTTGAAGTTTTAATGGTTGGTTAGTGAGTAATTAGAGTTTTGTTTTTCTCTCTCTTCTATGGTGCTTGAGCTACATATGAAGTAAATTAGACCCAAGTTTTAAATGTACTAGGGTAAATTGGAGAGGAGAACACACCACAAGGGCAAAGGGTTTTTGTGGCGAAAATTTTCATCACAAAAGCTTATTTTTTCGCCACAAACCAGTCTTTGTGGCGAATTTTTAAATCGCCACTAGTCGTCACAAATACTCTCGCCTCACAAATGCTCTAGTGATGAATTTTTGTTCCCCACAAATGACCATACTCATTAGTGACAAATTGTACTGCCACTAGTAACAGGACCATTTGTGGCTCATTCGTTGTCACAAAAACATGCATTAGTGGCAAAAAAATGATGCCACTCATAATGTTTTTAGTGGTGATAATAGTTGCCACAACTATACAGAATCTATGGCAATATAATTGTCACAATTACCATTGTAAAAGTGACAAATTTTGTGGTCACTAAAGACTACATATTAGTGATAGAAGTTTCGCCATTACTTGAGTTTGTCGTGTCGATGCTTGTTCTCACTATTAAATTATAATTGTGTCTAATTGTTTACCACAATATGTATGGGAAAAAGTGATAACTTGTTAACACAAATACTTTTCATTTGTGATGCAAACTAATCCTCACATGTAAACTACGGTGGCAAACCTTTGTCACAAAAAAATATCTTTTTGTGAGAACTGACAAGACAAAATGTATCAATAGTTTCATCAAATAAAGCATAGCATTTGTAGGAAAATATTAGTCAGGACAAGTTTTGTCACAAGATAAGTTTCAATTGTGTGAAACACATTAGATGTTGTGGCGACCAAGTTATCATTATTATCCTTGTTGTAGTGACAAAAATAGCTCAACAAATGTACATTATAGCAATATGATTATTTCAAATCTGCACCAATAATATTTATTTCAATAATTCAAATTTGGCATTCAAGTATTACATAAAACTAAGAACACTCAAACCTCGAAATAACTCTCTTGACACTACTTTAAAGTCTCACAATAATTATTCAACTAAAGTGTTTAAACTCTAAGATGCTAGAGGCTGCGAGGCACCAATGCGTGCAATTAATGCAGCCATTTGATGATCAAGTTGTTCTCTCACTAGGCGAGCAACTTCTCCACTCTGTGCTTGACGTAAAGAACTCATCTCATCACATTGGGATTGCTGCTCTTCTTGCAGTTGTGCATTTGTTTCGACCACCGTGGAAACTTAGCCTTCCAAAGCTTGTGCTCGTTGCTCAGCAGCCTCAGCACGTTGCTCTGCAGCATCTGCACGTGCTCGAGCTGCAGCTTCACGCTATTTTGAAGCCTCAATTTGCGCCTGCAATCTGATTCTTTCCTCAGCCACTCGGTTTACATCACGAATGCCAACACCGCGTGAATGGTTTGGCTTTCGACCAAGAACTAGTGCGAAGTGCTCCACTATTGGCACGGGCGCAGAAGAAATCTTTTCTTGATGTATCCCAGCAGCTTCATGTAGTTTGGTCTGCAAAGCATGAAAAACAAACTAATTAAGAACCCATATACTACACAGCAGGCAAAAGCGTTCACGTAATGAATCATAGGTACGAGCACAAATTAGCTATAGGATAGTGTAACATCCAAATGCTCTCAGAGTTGCTACTGTTCAAAAAAATCTGCAAACATGTTATCTAATAATTGAAAATTGCAGACAAATTAAATAATATATGAAATTTACAAACAGCTTAATAAAACGATATTGTTCATGATTAGAGATACTGCAAACATTTTGTAGTGCCTAGACTTTTCAACTCATTAAATAAACAATACAGAGACTACATTGCAGAGATAATAACCATAAAAGAGTCATACATAATTCTACTACCATACTTTTTCATATAAAAAACACACCACTTCCACCTAATCCTAGTTCAAAAGGTAGGATACAGATTGACAAATGTGAAACCCAAAGATGCCATCAGAAAGGGAAGTAATATGGTCATACCATTATTTCTTCACCCGTTGGAATGGACCATGTCCCATTAGCCTTTTGATATGTAGCCTTCCAAACTTGCATAGCAGTAGGCCATTCACCAGCTTCTGGGTCTCGCTGCATTGGAATAACAAAAGCATATATTCACTAATTCAGAACGATGTGTAATAGAAAAAAATCTGCCTAGTAACTATTTTCCTCACTAGATGGTAAGTGATTTGAGCAATTGGTCTAGTTCCTACTTTGGACCCCATCTCTTGCTTTCCTCTGTTGATAGAGTTTTGGTTGCTCTTTTTCTGGTTTACAAATTGCATAAATGTATCATTAACAATTATGCAACACTGTAATTTAGGACATGAGTTGTATGTACCTGAAAATCATCATCCGTCCACAAATTCCTTATCAACCATTGCCAACCTTCTAGTGAGACATGTTGTGGCCTTGGCTTGTTGTTTCGGTAAGCTTGAAGTAGACGGTAACGCCGATTATTATATTGACTCTCTACTTGTCTCATGGCACAATCTTTATCTTCTTCTGAAAGCTCAAGAAACTTTTGTTGTACAGCAAAGATATATTGTAATAACCAGCCACTAAATGCAATGATAACCTATGCATGCCAAATATATTCATTTCATATGAAAAGTAGATCACCTTTAGTTTTCTCCAAATAGATGTAGTAGTACCAGGATGAAACTTATCCATGTCCCTCCACTTCTTCACTTGGAGTGGTACAGTTCTTACAAGAACTGTTATCTCACTTTTAAATAAACTAGCATGTTCTCCACACACTTTTGCAAATTCTTTAGGGAACTTTATATCAATATGCTTTCCTTTTGCTCTTCTCTTGTGAAGTTGATTGTTAATTGTAAGTTTTCTTCCACTCTTAGCAAGGCCTAGTTAATTCAGGGAAAAGAACAAGGGTAAATAAATGTAATGTTTGTACTCTATAGTGTCAAGAATCAAATTTTAGATTAGTATAACAGGTTGTGACATGCTAAATGTAGCACTTGTTATTATGTCGTATAAAGAAATAAATGTAGATCAACATAACAGTACCTAGCTAAATCAGCGAAATAAACAATGGTGTAAAGAAGCAGGTTTCAGATTAGCAAAACACCTTCAGTGTTGTGTGTTGCAGCATTTATTTGATTATTTTCATCCATTGCCACATCTGAATCAAATTGATCACGTTCATTGTCAGTTCGAGAGCCACGTGAACGTAACCTGGTTGTTATTTCACCTGTAGAAACAAAAATAGGAATTTTGTAAATTTTACATAACTAAATACAACAGAAATGACTATCTTTTATTGTACCATCAGCACACGAAGTAATGCAAGTGAACACAGTTGCAAGTAATATAACTAGGATTTTTGACATCGGCATGAACACAAACCCCATGTGTTTGTTCATAGTAGCTCGTGTTCAGATCTATGAACAAGTAATGGTGCATTCAATTAAACAAGAAGTCAAGAACTTGCATGTTCTCATGGAGATTATTAATGGAATCGCTATCAGTACTAATAAGTCGAGTTGCTGATAACTAGAAGACACATCATATGAACTTAACAAAAGATCATGTAAGTTTTCTTACACACTAGAAGCAATATTGAAACATTATATTACAAACGAGGCTGCAGAAAATTGTAGCTTTCCTAATTTCCTTTGATGCAACATGCTATAATACATCAGAATTTTTACGCAAAGAAATATTTGGTGGTGCTGAATGTATAAAACAAACCTATACCAGAGGTCAATTGGTCCCTTGGATCTTTGGATAAAGCAAAGGCAAGCTCATCAAATTCTGTATCAATTTCAGCAATTGTTCGTTGAGGCACCCGTGGCGGCACCCGTGGAGCCATTTTCCCTGCGAAACAGCAATGGAATTGATGGAGAAACATAGCCATCAAATTAATGGATATTTTACCAAAAGAAACAATCTGACGAAAAAAATAATTTGAGACATACAAAGGATGGAAACAATCTGTCAAAAAATAATTTGAGAAATATAAAGTTGGACTGGGCTGGAGGCATGGGTGTCGTAGGTTGTTGTCCAATACAAATATGGTATGGATGTGATGCATATTCATAGATCGAAATCAAGATATCAGTATGGAATTGGAGGTATCGCATCTTATTACGGTGTAGAGATGGCGGAGGCGGCGACGATGGCAGTTGTGCAAGCCGCAGTGGCGGCAGCTGTGGCGGTGGCCGCCGCGGCGCGACGGTGGCCGTGGCCGTGGCGATGGCGGCACTGGCCGCGGGCATGGCGGCTGTGGTGGCGGTGGCGGCGGCCATGACGAAACTGGATCGGAGGCAGGGGATTTTCCGCATCGGCATCATGGATCCGTGGGGTAGCTAGCCACCGGAGGCATCTGGGCGTGAGCCATGGCGATACATGGCCTTGGCTTTGACACAGGACAGGAGTAATCATTGGTGGCTAATAATGATGATGATGGCCGGACAGAGGAAGACTTGACGGATCAACATGGCAGTATGGAATTGAAGGTATCGCATCTTCTTGCGGTGTAGAGATGGCGGAGGCGGCGACGATGGCAGTTGTGCAAGCCGCAATGGCGGTGGCCGCCGCGGCAACAGTGGCCGTGGCCATGGCGATGGCGGCACTGGCCGCGGGCACGGCGGCCGTGGTGGCGGTGCGGCGGCGGCGGCCACGATGAACTGGATCGGAGGCCGCAACGACGGATTACGGTGGTGGATTTTCCGCATCGGCATCATGGATCCGTGGGGTAGCTACCCACCGGAGGCAGCTGGGCGTGCGCCATGGCGAAACATGGCCTTGGCTTTGACACATGATAGGAGTAATCATTGGTGGCTAATAATGATGATGCTGGCCGGATGGAGGAAGACTTGACAAAAAAAAAAGAAATACTAGTAGTAGTACGCAGTGCACTAGTAGTAGTACGCAGTGCACCTTTGTGGTCGCCTGTTTCTCTCCGTCAGTTGGCTTTGATTGTTTGGTAGATCCGTAGATGATGGAAAGGACTCCATGTGTGTGTGTATATATATATACACACACACTTGATGTCCAATGCAATATGGCGGGAGTCAAAAAAATTCACGGATTAACTAGAAAACCAGGCGCGGCAAAGATGTCCTATCGAATATAAGTAACAGCCATAGATGTAGTACAATATATATATAAGATAATTCATGTACAAAGTTTTAAGTACAACACTGTATGCCTACTATTTGAGTCCATCTCAATTTATTTTGCATAGTTACGTTTGAAACTTTATGTAGTTATCGTGCTCTCACTGGAGGGAACAAGGCCATGAATTTAAGTCGTTTAATGTGCTGTTGATGTTTAGGCACCTTCAGAAATGATTGTAATGACTTCAAAGCTGGCCTATTTGTGGATAAGGCTTAAAAACTCCTGGTGCTTCATGGTAACAGCCTGCAATCAAAGATAGTAATCAGTTTGATCAGTAGACCACTGGAATAACGAGTAAAAGGTATCTTGAACATGCCCTTCTTTAGACATATACAGAAAACTCTCTGCGGGATGCTAGGTTTTTAAAAGAGAAAGTGAAAAATGAGTCCTCATTTTGAAATTTTTAAATAATACCGTACCAGATATAAAGTACAAGGACTCTAGCAAATATGCAACTTTTGGTTGACCTACAGAATAACTTAATTTTAAGTTAGTGTCACACTGATGTGAGACTCTTTCATGAATAGTGTGATACAGGCTATGGAGCTATGGAAAAAATCGTAATATTGCAAACCAACAAAAGTTACTGGAAAATAGTTACTCGAAATGATATGATGAAATTTCCACCCATTGCCCTGGTTTTTTTGCAATCAACTCCTGTGGTGGGGCTGCTGGTTGAAATCTGATAGGGTTAATAGTGGAATATTTAGAAGCACTAATGGTTTGGTTTATTTGAGCTCGTATTGCATAGTAAACCAAACAAAAGCGTCTTTGATTAAAGAAAACAGAAATATAGAAACAGATGGGAAAATAAAACAAAGTTTGTTACCAGGTTTAGTGGCTGCAGTGTCATATGTGCATAAAGCTCACTCCTCTCAGCATCAGCCTTAAGAATAAATGTAACAGAGCTGATGAAACACAGAGGTATCAATAATAATTTACTTGTATTGGTACGGTTGTGCTATTTAACTCTAAAGTTACATGCATGGAAGGTGAACAACTTTGTTAAAGGACTTAAGTTCTTTCAGCTTGTTGCTTCTATCGCTGAGGGAGAAGGTCCTTTATTTCTTCATATTAGCTATTGTCTTTATTTCTTTGGCCAATAGTCTATGCATTCACCTATATATATATTCTAAAAATTAGAATCAATCCAAGCAACTGCAAGTCCAAGTGTCCAACTGTTTTATCTGTAGAATCTAGTTTGCTAACTGCCTGTTCTGCCGAGACTGTGTTATCTGAATAACATAATGGACAGGAGGACCATGAATCCTACTCAAAAATTGGGGAACTATTCTAGAATTTGTAAAAAGGAAACTGAAACATTTCATGAGATAGCTATCCTCTCATAAATGCAAGATGTCAGAACCAAGCTACTTTGCATTCATGTACTGTGCATGATGAGTTGCATAGTTACACGCGACAATTATGTAATCTATTTTGATTGCTAATACCATGATTAAAATCTTCAGTAAATTGGCCTAAGTCTTCATGAAGGCGTTCAATATGGCTCTGTATTTGTACAGTAATGCTCAAAGTACTTACAATTAGATATTCACACAAGCAGATGACACCGAATAAAATGGCGAGATTGTTAAAATTGGACTCTCATTTTTAGGTTGATTCGCATTCACCAAAATCGTTTTATTTCTACACGGGGTATAATAGCTATTAGGCTTATGCAACATCTAATCTTAGATATATGGTGGCATATCAAACAATATTATCAGTCTCTTTATATTCAAATTTAATTTCATCTTGGTGAACATTTTCTATTAGTTTTCAGTTAGTACTCATATTTGAATCTGTGGAGCTTATAATACAGAACATATTGGTAAGCACAATGATTTAACCCTAAAAAATTTGTTTAAATTTGAATGTGCTGTTGGAGCTCATTGGAGAATAAAAACAAAACAGGAACTAAGATAAGTACCAAATATGAAATATGAACTACCACCGTGCTCTTGAAAATCCAAGAGCAAGTTCAATTCAAAACCATGCTATGCTTATTGTCGGCGTTTCGGAACCGGGGGTCCTTAACCGACTAGTGAATTTGTGCTACGTGCTCCCATTCCGGATGGTGATGCAAAGAGACAAGGTTTATACTGGTTCGGGCAATGGATGCCCTACGTCCAGTCTGAGAAGATGTTCTTGTATTCCTTGCACCGGGGTGCTCGTAGTAGGGGTTACAAGCTAGGCGAGAGGGAGTTCGTCCCGAGGTCTCTCGTGAGGGGAGGTGATATGAATTACTGAGAATGAGGCGTGTTGTTCGATGCAGTATTCGTGACTCTATCCGTCGTCCCTAGAAAGCGGTCCTAGCCGCCTCCTTTTATAGCCGAGGAGGAAACCAGGAGTACATAAGAGAGCTACACGTGGAGCAAGAACTATTCGATGACGTATTTACTCCTGGAGCAGCATGGCGTCGTCATGGGAGTTCCCGTAGATGTCTAATCGGTATGGTCTCCACTGCAAGTAACATGCTGCGCATTTGTTGACTTGGTGGATTGCAGAGGCTCGGCGGCCATCGTAGCCGGTCGTGCCAAGGCCTATCGTCGTAGCGAGGCTGTTGTGCCGAGGCCTGTTGTGCCGAGGGCACGAGAAGTGACCCAGTGTAGATCACGGGTCCAGCGGTCATCAAAGCGGAATAAAGTCGCGAGACGATGCGCCCTCTGAGGATCTGGTACTGTGTTGTCGATAGGGATGGTAAAAAGGTGATCTCGACCGTTGTCCGTCGCTCCCTGTTGCTAAGCCAAGACCGCCGATCGTGGCTTACGAAGCGGGTGCGGTGAGCGCATTAATCGGATCTGACGGCTGCCGGAGAGACCTTTGAGGTGGAGGCGACGAGGTTGCGGGATTTGAGCCCGGCCTCGGGCGAGGCGAGCGCGCGCCACCTGGTCGTCCGAGGCCCTACCAGGGGGTCTCGGGCGAGACGGACGGGCGAGGCGGAGAAAGATCAGTGAATCCGAGGCCCCATCGAGGGGGCTCGGGCGAGACGGAGCGGTCGGTCCGCTGATTCCGAGGCTACAGGAACCCGTTCTGACTCCCCACGTTGCGATGTCTTTGGTGCAGGAGTTAGGCAGCACAGTGGTTGGTAACCCCTGCTCTGTGCCGTCGCAGATGGCAGGAGGTTGACGCGACTGGCGTGTAGTCGGTCACTTCGCTGTACTGTGCCATCGTGCGTCTGTCGGAGTGGTTGGGCGCTTGGATGCGACGTTCGGTCAGAGCAGTTCGGTCGAAGAGGCGGTCACGGGGCTGGTCCCAAGCCGGCCTCGCGCGAATCGGAGAATCGGCACTTCTTCCAAGGCCCCGGGCGAGGGGGGCTCGACGAACGGGCCTCGACGAGGGGGCCTCGGCGAGGCGGTCTCGGGCGAGTCGGAGAATCGTTTGCTTCAGCTAGGGCTCGGCGACGGGGTCTCGGGCGAATCGGAGATTTCGGCCGAGACCTCGTTTGTTTATTCCGTTGGTTCTGTTTTTAGGGTCTAAGCAGTTTTTCGATCTTTGCTTGGGGTACCCCATTTTCTGGTATCCGACAGTAGCCCCCGAGCCTCGGGCGGGAGTGTGGGATACTCTCCCCGAGGTTTTGTCGAGACTTTTGTTTCTCAGTGGCTCTTGTCGGGTTTGTTTTATACTTGTGATTCCGGTGGGTGCGTGCGAGTGCACCCGCCGGGTGTAGCCCCGAGGCCCTAGAGGAGTGAGCTTAGTCCTTTAGGGGCTTTTTCTTCATTGAGTGAGGCGCTCTATCGCATTTGCTAGACCCATGAGAGCGAGCTCGGGTCGCTTGTTTTCGTTTGGGGTGCAGGAGGAGCCCCCGAGCCCTTCGCGTGCGAGCCTAGGTCGCTGGGTCTCGGCAAGGTTGCAGGAAGAGCCCCCGAGCCTCCGCACGGAGCGAGAGGGCGATCAGGAGTTCCCCTAGCTTTTTGTGTGACCCTCGCGCATCCTTTTCGCTCGGAAGGAGGGTTGTTTGCCGAGCCCTTCGTGTGTGAGCCTAGGCCGCTGGGTCTCGGCAAGGTTGCAGGAAGAGCCCCCGAGCCTCCGCACGTAGCGAGAGGGCGATCAGGAGTTCCCCTGGCTTTTTGTGCGACCCTCGCGCATCCTTTTTCGCTTTCGAAAGAGGGGTTGTTCTTTGAGCCCTTTGCAGTGCGCGAGCCTAGGCAGCTGGGTCTCGGCAAGGTTGCGGGAAGAGCCCCGAACCTCCAGCAGCGGAGCGAGAGGGCGATCGGGGAGTTCCCCGGCTTTTTGTGCGACCCTCGCGCATCCTTTTTCGCTTCGGAAGGAGGGGTTGTTTGCGAGCCCTTGGCGTGTGAGCCTAGGCTTTGGGTCTCGGCAAGGTTGCAGGAAGAGCCCCGAACCTCCCAGCGGAGCGAGAGAGGCGATCGGGGAGTTCCCCGGCTTTTTGTACGACCCTCGCGCATCCTTTTCGCTCGGAAGGAGGGGTTGTTTGC